TTTCTGGACGCCGGCAGCAGAGGAGGAAGGTCTGGGAATACGGCCACCGTTGGCGATCTGCTTGACCCTCGGTTTGTTATGTCTGTTGGAGAAAACAGCTGCTCCGTGGCTTCACTCTCATCCCAGTGATGTGATGAACCACTTCTGATGCAGCTGGTAACACTTCACCTTCTTTTGAGTCTTAAAAATGAGAACGATTATAGTATTTCAATGCAGTTTTCTCCTGTTGCTCTCACGAAACACAGAATATGAGAAATCTAAAGGTCTGAGAAGCCTTGAGTTATATTTACACGACAGTAAGAGTCAAAACATTTTATTGACAAACAGTATAATAAAATAATCGCACACAATTAAAAATAGACAACTTTATTGATTAGTTTGGATTATTGTCTGAAGCCCAGAGCTCCGTAGTTGTGCATGATTTACAGTCCAGTGCTCATTCTAGCAAACATGCAGTATCAAGCATGCCGTCATGTATTCCACCACTTCATCCACCCTCATGGTTGATGGTCTAAAGCAAGCGGAGGCAGCGACACGTCTTTGCATAGATAAAACATCTAAACCACGTCTGACTTGGTGAGATCCATCTTGCGAAACATTACAGGAATATTGTGCTCCGTTACTTTATTTTCTGGAGTGACGAGATTTTTTTTTTTGGTCTTGAAAGTATTTATTTTCCAAAACTCTTCATCTGATAATAAACATACAATAATGCAGTGCGATCATTAGAGATGGAGCAAATCTTCAAGTAATAAAAACGTCCATATTTCATACAAATCCAGTGTCGACATTGGTCAGTGTGCTCGTGTGTCGGTGCTACAGGGTGACAGCAGACGATCTGAAGCTACATTACATCAAGTACAACCCTGCAAATGTGCATCTTTAAGTGAACAGCATTCAGAGACTCATCCGTAGCACCATTACTTGCTTTAGACCAGATTAAATGCTTTTTATATACAGAGAGAGGGAAAACTTTAGTCTGTGCACAAACTGTTACATGTAGCAAGGTCAGCTCCATGAGAGGGTGAAATCAAGAGAGAATAAGTTACATGTGCATATCATACAGTGAGTTTAATCCTGCAGTACGTTATTACAAGTAAGAGACACATCCCCGTTTGTTCCCGTCGTCAACCTTTCTACATTTATTCTGCATTCAAGACGAAAACATTCAGGTTTTACAGAAACCTGACTTCGGGCTCCGTCACGTCGAGGCCAGAGGCCGCTGGAGCTCCAGCTGGGTCTCCAGGGTGACCCTCTCCTGGTGAACCACCTGCAGCCAAACCAAACAAACATACACATGCTTTGATCTCTGCACGCTGAACACGCTGAACACACACGCTTTGATCTCTGCACGCTGAACACGCTGAACACACACGCTTTGATCTTTGCACGCTGAACACGAGACGAACCTCGGGCAGGCATTACGCGGGTTGTTGTGTTAGCCGTGTAACAACACGGACTACCTCTGAAGTGGACCCTTACTGTCGGAGAGAACGAGCAGCAGACTCAACGAACACAACTCAATCAGCCGCTCACACGGAGCGGATTATTGAGAGAATGCAGAAGATGTTCCAGCGCTGACATTTCATGTCTAGAATCTGACCTCGTGACTCAACACAGCAGGGAGTGAGGATGCTCAGGGTTCATCCTAACTTCCCTCCTAGACTCCTCTGTCCTCAAGCACTTTCAAGGCAGACAAGGGTGATCCATGTGCATCGTTAGTCTGAACCCCAAAACCCGCCGGTGGGATGGATTGTTTATTTTAAACAATCGGCAAAAGTCATAGTCAGTTTGTTATCTTTCCGACGGTCCTTAAACACACCAGAAAACAAACTGAGACTCAGCTTTAAATTCTACATGTTCTCATTATAAATGTCTCTAATAAAGCGTTCACTTTAACCAGATTGTGTAAAAACATTAAAGTGTGAGCTCCTCAGAGAAACTATGAAGTCATCATTGATTCATCTGAGACCAACAGTCATGTGACAACAAGGAGGAGACACTTTGAACTTCAGGAAGTGAACACAGAGAGAGGAGAGGCTGGAAGTAGAGGATGTAAATATGTGTTCAATGTATAGCACATAGAGCCTCCATTTTTTTTCCAACATTGGAAACACTTGAAGAAATGTTGGATTTATAGATTCCATTGTTTTTGAATGTTTGTAAAATAAATTATCAAAGAAAATAAACTTGCGTTTTCTTCATTTTCATGATTGATGTCATAACTGTTCTGCACTAACGACATGTTCTACTTCTCTCTGCTTCTAGTCATGATGGTTCTGGTTCTATGGAGATGAAGAACTTTATGTTACAGAGAAAATCAAGACCACAGAGAGAAACATGCAACAGGAGAGAAAACATGCCCCAAACTGCTTCGTGTTCAGAGGGTTAAAAACTGATTCCCAGTGAAGCCATTTGAAAAGAATACATTGATCCCATTAATAAAATCTATGGAGGATTTCTGTCATGTAAAGCACAGTAACAGCTGATACAGCGGTGCACTCCACCAGCAGAGGACATCGTAGTTTATGGTCTCAATCTCTAGTTTCAAGTCTTCTTCAATACAGCATGATGTTCATTTAGTACATTATGGTCCATTTAGAGTCAAACAGACCATAAAGCAGGGGATGCTTTAGGGCGGGGCTACACAGTGATTGACAGGTCTCTACCAGAGACGTATACGGCGTCACTCCTCAGTCCAGATATGGTCACTTCCTGTTCACTGGTTGCAAAAAAAAAAAAAAAAAGACGGAAAAAAATGGCCAAACTTGAGTCCACAAACCAATGAGTGAGATCACCATCACTACGTCCACTGCTTATAGAGTCTGTGGCGTTGAGCCGTTCATCCGAAGCATGTTTTGTCTCGTTTTGTTTTTTCTTTGATATCATTTTTAGTTTTCAGTAAACGTCCTTCAGAGCGATCGATAGTAAATGACCCGGTTTTTGATGCGACGAGCTTTTATTAAGAGTTTTTTCATAACTTCAACTTTATGGGAACAGTCAGGAAGGAGCTGTTCCTTTCCTCACACACCCTGTGGTGGTTAGATGCCTGAGCAGCCCAGGCTCTATTTTAAAGAAGACAGTTGTGAATGCCAATGGCTGGAGTCTATATACAGACACATATGCCTTTCTCTGCAAAATTCCTCGGATGCTTTGAGGAACCAGCAGAATTAGAGCCAATAAACAACGTCCTGGATAACCAAGTAGGTCTGGAACACGACTGACATTAATGTAAAAGATTTTTTTTAAACAGTTTAATTCTTTGGTCTGTGTTGTATTAAAGCTGTAGAAGCGCCGCATGCGAGCGTGAGGGTTTTTCACTACGGATCATCGACGAGGGGAATGACCGGCATGCGGCATGTGTTTCCAAATGTGAGTGCGTGTGCCACAGGCCCAATGCAAACAGCCATTAGTTCAGCTTTGAGTGGCGGCTGAAGGGAGCAGACAGTTGAGCTGGAGGGTTTTTCACCACGTTGGAATGAAGAGGCAGCTTCTGTTGTCGGGCTACAATCACACGACGACGTTTTCGTTTTTTAAAACGCATATCTACGTTTACGCCGAGCGTCCACACTACTCCGGCGTTTCAGAGCCTCTAAAAAGGAGACGTTTGAAAACGCTACTGAAGCCGTTTTAGTTTAGAAACTCCGGAGTTGCGATTTAGTCTAGACGGGCAGAAACGTAGACCTTTGAAAACGATGACTCATGAATCTACGTTCGCTACTTGATTGAGTTTTATGGTGGAGACCCACCAAATCCGCCCAACTAAGAAGTGGACATAGTCATCGTGATGCCACTCATTGGTTTGTGGACGGCTGACGCCATCTTGTTTTTTTGCAACCAGTGAACAGGAAGTGACCATATCT